AGGTTAAGGGTTAGGGTTAGGTTAAGGGTTAGGTTAAGGGTTAGGGTTAGGTTAAGGGTTAGGTTAAGGGTTAGGGTTAGGTTTAGGGTTAGGTTTAGGGTTAGGTTTCGGGGGGGTTAGGTTTAGGTTTAGGGGTTAATTTTAGCTTTAGCGCTCACAGCGTGCTTTTTTCGTCGCGCTGTGTCAGGTACGTGGTTTCGTCGAGCGCGCTTTAGTCGAACACGGTTTTGTGGTGGAACCCTTTTTCAGTAATAACATCATCAATTACATCAGTTCCATAAGTAGACATGAGGTTGAGGATGTTTAAAGACCAGAGTTAGAAGGAATCTGGTAATTGATGTAATTGATGATGTTATTACTGAAAAAGAAGTTCCTCACTTTATACAAACATACAGTGTATTGTCAGAACATTGAAAGGTGAAATTGTGAAATCCTCAGCGTGGGAATGGAGTGGGAATGATGTTTTAATGATAACTGAAATTAGGCAGATTTCACAAGTCCATGCAAAGAAATAAAGGCCATCTCTGTTTGTGTGGGTGGGTGGGTATGTGCATGCACTTGATTACAATGCTATAAAATAAAGAGTATTATTATTTTTAAGATCTATTCCGATTAATGGTATACAAATGTATGCATCTAATACAGTTTTAGTGAAAGAAGACATTGAGGAACATTATAAATTGCAAGAGCTACAGGATGCAATAGTAAGAAAGAACTAACAGGAAATTAGTTTTAAAAAGCTGGATAAATGGAGGAAATTTGTCAAAAAAAGATTTTGACTGAATAACCATCCCAGCACAAGATAAGAGTCAATAAGGCTTTCAAAGAAAATTCTTTATTGCCAATATAAACAGAGATTTGGACATTCTGAATGGACAATATCCAAATTATCTATGTAATATCTATATCTATATAAACTATGTAGTAGAATTAAACATGAAGAAGTCAACTAGAATACTTTCAAGTGCAGATTATGTATTGTTTCATGAATTATAGATGTCAAGTATATGGTTTAAACATAGACCTTTAAAAAGAATACAGTTGGTATGTAAGCAGATAGGGCTTAGAGAAGATAGTTATCATATAAGATTTGTCAATCACTATCAATTGTCAATGTCAGTGCAATCAATGTTAAGCACAAAAGTGCAAAGAAAGATATCTCCAGAATAACAGCAAATAGGGTAATATGACAAGATACAATAAGAGATGCTTTAAAGATTTGCATATAACAAATTGTTAGTATTTACTCTCCAATTTCCACTCCAGTCCTAGTATTTTTACGATAAAGACATTTTAGAAAAAAAATGAAGTTGATAAATAAATCAAGATAAATTGTTGGAAATGTAGAGAGAGTACTAATCTGAAGTTGGAATAAACGTTAATCTTAGGCAAAATCATGAAATATATTTTATTTTATAATAACAAAATATTATAAAATTAAATATAAAATAAAGTAAATAGTATAAAATAAAATAAAATTGAAAATAAAATTTATTTTATAATAACAAAAATCAAAATAATTTTAAAAAGGACAGCTTGGTAAGCTATTATATATAGAATCACCAAAAGATAAACCTGACTCATTGACACCTAAGTTGTTACTATCTTCAGAGGGCTGCAAGATGCTCTTAATCATCTCTCAAGCAACAAATAATAGGAATAAATGTTTATTTATTTATTGCATTTACTTCAAAGTAGTTTATATAATATGATACATATTTTATCTGCAAAATAAAAGAGCAGAACAAGCAGATGGAAAGTATGATTAAGATTATTAAATATTTTGTGTTTATATATATTTCATATTGTTTTCACTTTTCATAAGCCATTTAGGGTTTAAAATGCTAACATTTTAAAGTATCCACAGTAGGCAGTTGACAACAAAAAATGTTCTTTAATTATGATCATCATAGGATTCTTAAATTTGCAACCTGGCAATTGCATGTTGCTTCCATAAACATTTTCAGCCATGTTTCAAGGATAGTCCTTCTTCAAAAGAGATCACAATCAGGGGCAAATAAGTGTTGGCAAGTCTGACCAGCTGAAAAAGATGATTATTAGTTGTTGTAATGCAAAGTCATTATTCACTATACCTGCTACTAGATATCCTGCAGCAGCTGGAGATAAAGAACCTGTTTAATTGCAAAACTGCTCTTTCTTGCGCACTAAAATCTCAGAGCCGAGGTGGCGCAGTGGTTAGAGTGCAGTACTGCAGCCACTTCAGCTGACTGTTAGCTGCTGTTCGGCGGTTCAAATCTCACCGGCTCAGGGTTGACTCAGCCTTCCATCCTTCCGAGGTGGGTAAAATGAGNCTCTCTCTCTCTCTCTCTCTCTCTCTCTCTCTCTATGTTGTATGTATGCATGTAATTATAAAACACTGTATTAATTTTTTCTTATCTTTTCCTTTCAGTTTGCTCCCAGTTTTCAAGAGGAGTCTTTGCTATTTTTGGATTTTATGATAAGAAGTCTGTAAATACTATAACATCATTTTGTGGAACTCTTCATGTTTCCTTCATAACACCCAGTTTTCCAACAGATGGTACACACCCTTTTGTCATTCAGATGAGACCTGACCTTAAGGGTGCACTTCTGAGCTTAATTGAATATTATCAATGGAACAAATTTGCATATCTCTATGACAGTGACAGAGGTAAGAAATTTGCCATGTTTTAAAATTACTTTTATGCTAGCACAAATCTGTTTGCAATGATTAAGAAGTATTACAGTATCAATCATAGCAGAAGGTAGCACTTTGTAATGTTTTCAGCCTTAAACTTTTAAGGTGAGAAGGTTGAATCATTGGTGTTTCCTATAACAGTGAATGTAGTGTCTGAACTGCTATTTCAATCTAGAATACTATATACCAAGAAAAGAAGAAATGTATAAGTATGTTCCTACAAATCGTTGCAAAGTTCCTCTGTATGGGAATATATTGTAATGAAAAATCGTTTTAGAAGACTATCATTAAAGAACAGTGATTTTCACAGCATGGTTTTGATTAAGGAAATAAGCAGCTTCTAGACAAGACTTCCTGTGGTCAGCCTGGGGACTTAAGGATGATTGATTGTAAGAATTCTACCTATGTTCTAGTAATTATTTATGTGGATTTGTTGTAGCACAAGCCTTCCTTCTGCCTCCCCCCCCCCCCCGCCTGCATTTTACCCTGATCTGGCTAACTGAGAACCAAAATTGAGCAAGGGAACTTCGGTCAATAAAGCTTAGGTATCATGAGAATTTTAGCTATTTTTTAATTAAACACATAATTGCTAGAAAAAGGATAGCTGCTGGTGAAATTATATGCCTCAGATTGCCAAAATAAAGTAGGGTTGGTTACTGGATGGCTAAATGAAAAACATTTTGATTGGCCTGATCTAGTCCTAAGAATACAAAATATATTTTTCACATAGTTAATTGAAAGAAAATGATGCACTCTTCAGAAAAAAAAAATCTTGGAATAACTTTATTTTGACATATGAGATAACATAACTTATTTGAGCAAATACTAAATATACAAGTCAGTGGATTAAAGCCGAAAACAATAGGTACATTAGGATGTATGCAGATTTTATGCTTGTAACATATATTAGTACCATTGACCTATCTCAGTTAAGACTTTTCTTAGAGGTATAGTGCAGAATTAGAAAAAATATAAAACACATAAAATATTTATTATAATAACATGAATTTCAGGCTTTATCTTTATGTCTATAAAAGGTGTATATGTATTCTTTATATTTACCAGCATGGATATAATAGAATTAATCAATTCTACAATTATAATTATATAATTATATTATACTTTCTAAAAAAAATTCAATTGATGACAAAATAAGATATATGTTTGTGTGTCTCAAAACCATTTCATTAAAATTTAAAGGAAAAAGATAACAAAATCTCAGAATATGCTCAATCTTATTTACCTAGACCAGGGGTATCAAACTCAAGGCCCGTGGGCCAGATTTGGCCCACAGGGTTCTTATATCTTCCCCGCCAGGCTGCTCTGGAAATAGCGAAGGACCAGTCTGTGGTGCCTCTGCCAGCAAAAAATATTTTTTCTGGCAGAGGGTTGCAGGAGGCCGTCGCAGCCGGAAACGTAGCTCGGGAGCCTGTTTTCTCTGGCAGAACGGCCACCACAGGTGCCCCCCACACAAGTGACGTTGAGCTGGCCATGCCTACCCTGTCTATGTCCCCCTTCCCCGAGATCAAACACAACTCTGAAACAACCCTCAATGAAATCGAGTTTGACACCCCTGATCTAGGCTTTGTGCTTTTAGAAGAATCTGAATTGGGATAATCTGAAGCAAAATGCTTATTTAATACGTAAAACTCTTTGCTATGGACTCCGCACCCTTTTAATTTTGACTCTTTATACCTTTTTTCCAATTATAAATTTATTATAAATTTATTATATTATATTTATTATATATATTGCATATGGCCCTAGGTATAAAAAAGTTTGCCTGTCACTAGGTTAGAATTAAGTAAAACTAAGTGAGATAGATATATTACTTTGCGCTATTAATACTGTTTCTGAGGTTTGGAGTGAAAACTGGTCTGGTAATAAATTTAATCAAGGACATTATTATATAGGAAATATCATGATTAACTATGCAGTCTCATGGGCAGAACTGTTTTCGATTGGGAGGACTCAGGTTTTTTCTCTCACACTCTCCAGATGTGTTTATAATAGTTGAAATATTGGTTCTGTTATTCTCAGCTAGCATTAATTTTGGCCAGTCAAACTGGCATTCAGGGACTGTATTCTACCATATATGGAGGTTGAAAAAAAATACTAGTCAGCTTTCAAACTGTGGGTTAAATTCAATAGTAATTTATTATCAGGAATTATTTTTGAAGATAAAATGGGAGCCAAGGCTGAATCAATAAAAACTATGTTTGGAATTCATATTTTCCATATATTGGTTTTCTGTCTTGAAAACTGAGACAGAGGAAAAAATTGAAAATTTATATCTTCCAGGGGGATGAATGGCATGGTGCACTTCCAATGGTGCAAATAACATTTAACAAGAATTACAGTGGTGGGTTTCCAATTTTTTTTGAACCTATTATGTGGGTGTGGCCTATTTTGTGGGTGTGGCTTGGTGGTCATATGACCGGGCAGGTATGACCAACTTGACATCACTAATGCGCACTCAGTCACATGACACACACCCCCAAACCGTGCCCACAGTGGCAAACATTTTTGGGACTCCAATGAAGGGGGGAAGAGGGGGGGAAATTCCCAAAAATAGACAACTGGAGGATTAAGGGCCGAAATTAGGGAGATCGGAGAAGGCAGGACAAAGAGAAATCCAGGAGAAAGCTATCACAGGCTGGGGAAAGAACTTGGGAAATCGGAGGAGGGAGGACAGAGAGAGAGAAATCCAGGAGAAAGCTATCACACGCTGGGGAAAGAACTTGGGAGATCGGAGGAGGGAGGACAGAGAGAGAGAAATCCAGGAGAAAGCTATCACACGCTGGGGAAAGAACTTGGGAGATCGGAGGAGGGAGGACAGAGAGAGAGAAATCCAGGAGAAAGCTATCACACGCTGGGGAA